CATTTAGAAAACCAGTATGTCTCTATTTCCCTAAATCTACTATTAGGGAGTAGAATCATCGGTGCAGAGCACTGCTGCTTCACAATAGGAATAATCCTGAGTGTGTATCTTCGTTTTATTCATCTTCCATTTCTGTTTGACAGAATTTCATGCTGCTGGAAGATGTTACATTGACAGTCGAGAGATAATTTTCGTTTTTAATCCAGAGAACAAGAGCCACTTGGGAAGTGACTATAAATGTCCTCTGGGTGTCCCAGAGATACGCCTCATCCCTGTGCTGGAAGGAACACACCTCTGGGAAGAAAACAACTTTGATCAGTAATTCTCTCTGGAAAACATTGAGAGCAATAGATTTCACTGATCCTCCCATGAGTCATGGGGTCTGAGATAAGTAAGCCTTTCCATTTCCAAATCAGCTTTCAAGTGGTGGTAACTCTGTCACTGCTCACATGCCTCAGTGAGGAACTGAAAATAGAATGATGTTCTCAAACAAGCCTTTCTTTTTTTCCTTCAGTGTACTCATGAAAGTTTTGTGCAAAATAGGGTCTTTCTCATAATAAAGTGTTGTAAACATTGGTATTCCCAGCATGGTCTTCCCTGGCTGGGCCTGGAAGGTGTTTGGTATAGATGCTGGTGGAGCTGATGCCTTGGTCTGTAGACTTCACTGTTCCCCTTGGGTCAGTCCTCCTCACCTCCCTGACCTTGAGGTACTGGAAGATGTTGCTTGGATAATGCAGAGACCATTTCCTTTTTTTTCTTAACCATTGGGAAACAGGTTTCTTTCTTTATCAGGCAGATCAGTGGCCTGTTGTGCTCTCTCTTGGTTATTATAAGCTTATCAGCTGGTCTGCCACAGTATATGTGTGTGTGTATACACACGTGTATATATATATACACACACGCATACACACAGAGGATGCAAAAGAAAAGTATACCCATTTTAAGAAAGGAAAAACCTGTATTAAAACTGTAATACTCAAATCATATTCGACTTATGCAATTATCTTATGTAATTATAAGAGATATAAGATACAACATACAAGATAACAAATGTGTATACTTTTTTGTATCCTCTGTATATAGCAATACAGGTACATATACTGCATATGTCATATACTAACTCATGAATGCACACAGAAATAGGAAACTACACTAAACTAGAGGTCCTTAAGGGCCAAGATCCCTTCAATTTCTTTTCACATGTATGTAATATTTGCTTATATAGCAAGTATGTTGAAAATGTATACATATATTTATTATATATGCAGAAAATATATGAGGGGTATCCATCGTTGTCAATTTTAAATTGTACATGAACTCTACAGACACCCTGTATTATATACATATGTGAGGTCTGACAATTAATTGCAAACTCATCCTGAACAGTGGTTCTCAACCTTCCTAATGCTGTGACCCTTTAATACAGTTCCTCGTGTTGTAGTGACCCCTGACCATTTGTGGGAGTCACTACAACACGAGGAACTGTATCAAAGGGTAACGGCATTAGGAAGGTTGAGAACCACTGTGAAAAAGTGTTACCTATCTTATTGCTGAATATTACTATGCTCACCTTCAAAGCACTCCCCATGGGAAGCTATGCACCTATGCCAGTGCCTAGTCCTCCCTTCGGAGCAATTTTGGAACTCTTTTTCTGGAATAGCCATCAAAGCTGTCATTGTATTACCCTTGATGTCCTGAATATCGCCAAAATGTCTTCCTTTCAATAAATCCTTTATGTTTTGGTACAGAAAAAATTCACTAGGGGCTAGATCAGGTTAGTAGGGAGGGTGTTCTAATACAATTATTTGTTTACTGGCTAAAAACTCCCTCACAGATAGTGTCATATGAGCTGGCACATTGTTGTGATACAAGAGCCATGAGTTGTTCACGAAGGTTTTCAGTTAAGATTTTCCTAACTATGTATTGATGTTTACTTGTTCTGCTGTGCTTCTCACATTCAGATGATGATTTTGACATGTAGTGTCATGAATTTTTGCAATGTCTTTATCAGTTCTGTTCATTACTGGCCACCTTGACCTCTCCTCATCAATGATGCTTTATCTCCCCTCAGAAAAATGTTTAATCCATTGGTACACTGCCATTTTCTTCATGGCATTATCCCCATAAAATATGTGTCTCTGATTTCACTTTCATTCATGTCAAGTTTAACAAGAAATTTACAAATGTTTGCTTATTGCTCTAATTTAAGCTCCAACATTCTCATGATGGCACACAACAATAACAAACATCGATATGACACAGCCACATGTTGACATGAACACAACTATGAGACACTAATATACAAAGATTATGAGATTTTACCAAGTCGTTTGTGCAGTGCTGCCAACGAAACTATGAACTTGATTGTCAGGCCTGGTATACGTTCACATACATAGTTGGTCCTCTGTATCCATGGGTTACACATCTATGGATTCAACCAATGGTAGATCAAAAACATTTAGAAAAATAAAAACAAAAGCAATGTGTAATAGTAACAATGTGACTATAAAAATATAGTATAACAACTATTTACGTATCTTTTACTTTGCATTAGATGCTATAAATAATCTAGAAATAATTCAAATTATACAGGAGATGTGTGCAGGTTATATGCCAGTACTATGCCATTTTATATCAGGGACTTGGAACCAACCTCCATGGATATGGAGGGACAGCTGCATATTTGTCGTGTGTGTGTGTGTGTGTGTGTGTATGACTAGAGGTCTTCAATGGCCAGCACTCCTTTTTACTCATTCTTGTATCTCAATTTCTGATACTGTAAATGACAAGGAAATAACTTTAAAAATACATTCAATATTTAATAAGAACTTGAACTAAATAGAGCTGACCTCTGCACAATCACCTCTCTTCATTTCCACTAGCAGATTTCTACATGTATATAGTAGACACAGACACATACACGTCTAATTGTCTGTAAACACTTCCCTCCCTGTTGGATGGATTGGGTCTCCTGACTGATGACCTTGGTGTTCTTTGTTCAACTCACTCAACTCATGCGATCCCTTGAGCTATACTTGTGTGTCATGCTGATTGTGTGATACCATTGACACGTAGCACTGTGACCACACAGGCTCATTTGGGGCCAGTTCTCTTTTCATACTCTGAGAACAGCCACCTTTTTTACTTCTTTCATTTCCTTTAATCTTGCTTCTTTTCATTTCCTTTAGTCAAACACTTTCTAGTTCTATTAGTATGTGTTTTCTCTTCCCGGGACACTCACCCACCTTCTTTGTTTACAGAAAATCTACTCATACTTTCCTTCAAAAGAGAGGCCTCCCACATGCATCACAGTTGAAATTGTTTATATACTTTCTAACGCCTTAGAATCTATGTCCTCAGGTCAGATCCTAAAACGAATTGTATACTTAAGATTTATTTGTTGAATAAACGTAGGACCAATAAAGCAGCACTATGAAAAAACAGCAAATAACAGAGGTAGTAGGGTAAAGGAATAGTTAGATTGGCTCGTGATGGCCAGATAACAGAGGCTCAAGTGTGGGAAGACAGTTAGGGCCAAGATGTAGTCAAACATGAATTCCAATTCTCCATCTCCCCAGCTAAAATCCCCAACAGGGAATTCTTCCATCTCACCCAAAAGGTCCATTCTTTAAGTACCTTCCTGACAGCAACCAGGAGAGGGAAGATAAGCCAGAGAGAGTGCCAGTGGGAGGTAAGAAAGGAAGCAAAATTCAGCTCCCTATCTAGTCTCATTCTGCTACTGCTGCTGAGATTCTCTCCAAGCCAAGCACATGAATACTCCATCCACACCGCAGGCCCCATTGCCTGTCCCTCTGGCTCCAAACAGGCCTAGCCAAGAGAGGGTAGAGTAGTCAGAACAGGGGCTCTGGAATCCAACATGCTGGCTTTGAATCCTTCTTCTGCTCCCCCCACTAGCTGTGTGTATGTTATTGAACCCATTGCTCATGATCAAAGGAGGCTAAAAACACTGCCTGCCTCATAGTATTGCTGGAAGGATGAAGTCAGTTGTGTAAAGCTTTGTGTTAAATGTGAGTTCCTTTCTTGACTGTGTCCTCAAGGGCATTTTAAAACACAGAGATAAAAATGAAGTTACTTTGGGTTTAAAGTTGTAAATATGAAAGCTTAGATTTTTTTTAAGCCTTTAAGCCTAATTTATAAGTCATATTATTCTATTTAGAAATCTAACAAGTTTACTCATTAAGGGACTTTAAAATATTGGTTTCATTTATAACTTCAGTAAACCTTCAGAAACTTTTACCTTTCCTTAACAAAAATATTTATATCTTTAAAAACTTTTTAGTTTTACATTGACAAACAAATATTTCTAAATACGTACACAAGTCTGTTAATTCTAGCAAATTAAGGTGGTAAAATATAATAAACCTTTAGCTCTCTTAAATATTTTGGCACTGTTTAATGACTCAAATAAATATTCTACACCACAATTGCACATTTCACATATTAATTCTAAACCATTTATGTCATCTCAAACGGTACTTGGGAGATATCTTTTTGAGGTAATGTTTAGAATCAACTCCTTAACTTGTTGGGATCTCTTAGGAATTGGAAGTGTGGGGGCCAAAATGCAGCCCTGATGGACAGTCTTAACTTTTTCATATTGCTCCGTCTTTGGCCTTTGGTCTCAAATTACACATTACCTAATTTTCAAGTAATTACTTGAGTCAGTAATTCCTACTCAGGTGGCTGTACTACTTGAGTGGATTATATCATGCTACATGGTCCTGCTTCATTCTCTTCTGAATTCTTATCACTTTCTTCCTGCCCAATAGTTCTATGCTCACACCTAAGCCATATTTAATTGGATTACATGAGTCACAAGACTGTTTTAAGACTGTGATATTTCCTGAAAAGATCAGTTCTTTGGCATTGGGTACAAGGAGTACTTTAGGAGTTGTAGCTTTATTATTAGATTGTCAACATTGTCAATTTTTTTTCTTGAAATTCATTTCAGATTTACTTAGGCTCCTTGCTAACTTGTAGGTCAGGGGATTTCAAATTTGAATGTGGATCAGAATCACTGATAGGGCTTGTTAAAACAGATTTCTGCAGCTGCCTCTCTTCCCTCAGTCTCCAGGAGTGCTGTGGTGGGCAGAAAGGCAGCTGACATTCTGTGATGTCTCCATTCTGTGTTCCTTCATGAGCCCAGGGAGAATGCCATGGTTGGCATCCAACAGCTCAGTCACATAGAGATTTGATTGACTTGATTGCTGGTAGTGAAGGGTATCTTTGGTTATGATCTGCTATTTTCAACTGAGACCTCTGATGGGAGGGAGGGAGGGATGGAGGGGGGAGGGAGGATAGGAGGGAGGAAGGCAGGCAGGCAGGCAGGAAGGAAGGAAAGAAGGAAGAAAGAAGGAAGGGAGGGAAAGAGAAAAAGAGAGGAAAAAGGAAAAAAAGAAAGAATAACATAGATTTCTGAGCCCCACCTTTCACAGTTTCTAATTCAGAATGTCCGGGGTAGAGCCTGAGAATACACATTCCTAATAAGATCCTAGGTGGTGCTGATGGTGCTAGTCCAGTGATCACACTTTGAGAACTACTGCCTTAGATTATTATAATGTCTCCCTCTACAATTTTTCTCACTTCATGCCTACATCTCAGCTATACTGAAAAACATCAGTAAGTTCAGACAATAGGTATATACTCTGCATTATGTATCAGATACTGTGCTAAGTTCCAGAGACACATGTACAAGAATTAACCAGTCCATAATTCACTTTCTTTCTTAAGTGTACATATAGAGAGATCACAAAATACCTCTAGAATTCATGGGGGGAGCTCCTAACCCAGATTTGAGGAGATCTTGAAAAGCAAAACATGAATGGTAATTTTTAACAAAGATCTGAAAAGCAATTAAGATTTAGCAAATGACAGATTGCTAGGGGTGCTGGCGGGGATGGGAAGGATAGGCATGGGAGGGAATGTTTCCACCGAAGAGTCATGACCCAGAGAAAACAAATGCTCTAATGACGCCATCTGAGTCTTAACACCATAAGCATCTAAAAGCAGATTTTTTAAAAGGATATTTCAAGTGATCATCTGTTTTTGAATTTATGATAATTGAAATAAGACTCAGAGTGTGAGGTGCAAGGTGGTGTTGTAATCTGCCAGGCTTTGAATAACCAGTGGTCCTGTTGGTCCACATGGACAGATGGTGTAGAGGGCAGTGGACAATGGCAGGGAGCTCCCTGCAGTCAGGGATGGGGAGTAATTGTTTCCACTCATTTTTATGTTTTACTGAATATGATAGAGGCTGGTAATTGTTCAAACTCATTTCCTTCTGTTTTTGACCACAGATCTGTTCTATATTCCACACACCTTATTTGCACTTGGACATTACTATGGGAAAGAATTCTAGCCGATGAAATGTGGTCAGAAGGGATATTTGTTGCTTCCAAGTCTGACTCATTAAAACCTAGCTTCCAATCCTTTTTTTCCTAAGTGTCAGTAGGATATCAATGTTCAGAAGACTTAGAAACCTTGGTTTGTTACAAGAACTTCTAAAACAGAGTTCTCCCTACTCAGGGCTAGCCATTTTCTGGGAGGATTAATGCAGGACCCCTTTACCTAGGGCTGCACACAGACCATAGTTCCTGGGCCCCGAACAGGCTCATAAAAACCAGTCTGACAAGTGTCCCTCCTAAGCTGCCACTCCCAGAACAGAGGACACACCCTAAACAAGAGGCTGCTACTCCCCAAGCAGGGAACAAACTCTGAACCAAGACCACATTCCCACATAGGGGTGGTTTTAAAATTAACTTCTGTCTTCAAGCCCCTGGCACCAAACAGTTGTAACATTCCATTTCCCCAAACCCCCCTGTCCCCTGCCAGATAAGAAAAGCGGTATATAAACCCTTAGACAAAAGGCCCAAATGGGCTACTCTCTTGGGTTCCCCACTCTGCGATATGCCGGAGGTCTTATCTTCCTTACTATCTATCAATCTTCTGCTTACTTGAAGTAGTTCCTGGATTCATTCTTCAGAATTTCCAAGACCAAGGACCAGGGAGAGAGAGAGCCAGAGAAAAATAGAGATAGAGATTCTGGCTACACCTTTATCTGCCTGAATATGTGAGTGATTGGTTCCTATGCTACCTAGGGAGCACTTTGGTTAGAAATAGATTTTCATCATCTTACGCAAGTGAAGTTTCATGTACTTAACTATTACAACAGCTTGCATTACTATAATAAATAAAATGACAATAAAAGACGATGTCTTTTATTGAAATAATGATCCTCTTTAAAAATGAGGGTCTGGTAAAACATCTACTTCAGACTAGGTCACCTCCAAGATAATCCCAAATGCTGTCACTTATATCTAGGATATTCTTATTCTAAAAGTGGTGAGGAAGAGCTCTTACAATAGTTGCTAATAACTTGAGTATCTCTTTAAATGTGTCCTTAGGTAGAATATAAGTAAGGCTGTTTATCTTATTCATTATTTCCGTCAGAGTATTTGGCTTAGTGACTATCATATCTAGGTGATCAATAAATACAGTGTATATGAAATGTGTTAAGTATTGGATCAGCAAGTTGGAGATGTGAGTAGGAGCCCAGTGATTTAATGTCCTGCTAACCATGTTAAAGAAATTGTACTTGATTCTGAGGAACATGGGGAGCAATTGAAGGATTTCAGAAAGGAGGGACAGTTAATGGGATTTTATCTTTGGGAAGATCACAGTTGTGAAAATAAAGTGTTTTCAACCCCAAATAGTTTTGAAACTGAAACTTGGAATATCAATTTGGAGACTCTTATACAATCTAAATAAGAGATCACTGACTGTAGGATTTTAGTGACCTTGTGAATAGAGACAAAAACATTTAAGATACAGTTAGAAGGAAGAATTGACAAGACTCAATGATTATCTGAAATGGGGGCAGCAGAATAAGAGGACAGGGAAAGACCAGGGTTACTCCTACTTCACAGACAAGATAAAGCAGGTGGTGCTGATGGCACTGAAATGGGAACCCAGGATTAAAAAAAATGGGGAAGTTGTATTCTCAACATTTGGGTGATGCACATACTAAGAGCAACTGTATTTCCACCTCCCTCGTCGCTACCTTGTCCTCTGCTTTTCTTCACCTGAACAACATCTATTCGTCTATAACACCTCAAAATAGACCCGTTCCTTTGTGAAAATTCCCCGGGACTCCCATGATTGGATAAGGTATTTTCCTATATGTTCCTAGCACTCTGTGCAAGAGTGTAGCATTTATCACAATGTTTTGTATCTCCTTCTAGTTTTCCCCTTTGTACTTCTTTACCCAAAGCTAATCGTAGTCAGAGACTATCTCCTAACATTGGGTTCCTGGTGCCCATCATAGTGCTGTGTCTGTGCAAGAACTCAAAACTAGAATGTACTCATGAGTGGATGGATGCATGCATGAATGAATGTGGCATGAATAATTTTGAAGGGCACACATTTCAAAACTGAAACCAACTAGTAACATTTGGTGACATCCTGTCTGTTGGAGACGGGCAGCATGCAGTTAGCACAGATGGCCACGAGATTGCAATACTCTTCACATATTTTACTCACCCCTCCCACTCGCACTCAACCCCCCACCAGGAGTGGTCATAAATCGCAGAACGACTCCACTATTCCCTTAAGCATCTGTCTCTGATCACAGTGTGAGCCCACCGATCTTGTAATAGACTCCACAAGTGTTTTCCTTAGGAAAAAAACTTATCAGAATTAATACAAAATTGAAAATGAGAAAGTTCGCAGTGAGGCAGCTGTTGTGTGTGAGACACGAATGTAGTCTGACAAATAATGTGTTCTAAAGTTCTACTCCATTCTCCAAATGACTAAAGAATAAAGATAGGTGACAGAGCAAGACCTTGACTTTAAAAAAAAATGAAAAAGATTAAGAGGGATATTCTCCCATTCCCACTTGAAAAATAGCTAATCTAATTTACAGATTGATATAAACTTACGTTGTTTGTATCACGGGCAAAGCCTCTAACTGAAACAGGTGTAAAAATGAAAAAAAAAGCTACACATGTGAATGGAACAGTAGAGGTTTCTAAGTTCAGTGAGGAAGCGTTGTGGAATGAGGCACTGTGCCTCGGAATAATGGAATCAAATTGTAAGATTGAGCACACAGAAGAACTGCATAGATAGCTCATGGAATGACAACTCTGTAGTTTTCAGCCTTACTGCTCAAAGTATGGTCTGTGCACCTACAGCACTGATATTACCCACTGGCTTCAGAAAAATACTCTCAGGTCCTGCCCCACTTCTACTGAATCAGAATCTGCAATTAAAATAGTCCTCATATGACTTCCAAACTTTGAGAGGCTTTGTTCTAACTAGATGCATTCAAAGAGCTTACTGAGCTCATATTAATTCACTTTGAGGCTGTATTGTATTTTATTATTCAGATTAGGAATTTTTAAAATTAACAGATAGGGTTTCACTCTGTTGGCCAGGCAGCTGGAGCTCAGTGGCATGATCACCGCAGGTTCAAACCCATGAGCTCAAGAAAGCCTCCACCTGAGCCTCCTGAGTAGCTGGGACTACATGTGCACACCACCACCATGCCCAGCCATTGAAAATAAAAATGGTTTGTAGAAGCAGGCTCTTGCTGTGTTGCCCAAAAGACATCGCTGAGGGTGAAAAATGAATGCTAAAATAATCATAATTGCATATTTTTCAAAGATTTAGTTATTAAGAAATAAATTAGTTCTTATATACGTGGATTGAAAAAATAGTTGTAGTCAGAGTCTTTAAAATTCAGTTATTTCTGAAAATAGAAATAAACTATCAATGTGTACAAATCAAAATTATTTATATTGGTCTGAACATTAATATTTTTAACTTTATTTTTTCCTTTCAAAATTTTAAGGGAGCACAGAGTTTTTGAGGCATGCCTTGAGTCAGGGAGGTAAGTGTGCCCATCACCCTAATCGTGCTCCCTGTACCAGTTAGGTAGGGTTTTGCCCTCTGCTGCTCCCTCCGTACCCTCTTCTTGATTCCAATGAATTTTATTTTCCTCTCTGTAACTGTGTGCCCGTCACTTAGTTCCAATTTATTAGAGAGTGTGCGTAGTGTCTGTCTTTTCTTAAGATACTTCACTTAGGATAATAGTTTCCGGTCTTTCAAATTGCTTCAAAAGGCATTCATTCATCCGTTTTATGGCTGAGTAGTACTCCATGGTGTACATATACCACATGATGCTAAAACACTCGTAAGTTCAGGGATACTTGAGTTGATTCCACATCTTTACAACTGTCAATTCTGCTGCAATAACCATTCA